ATCAAAAAGTAACAAAAATTTTTAACACTGACGTGCAATTGTAAATTTATAACCCTAATGTACATTTAAACAATAATATGTTCCGTATCACAAAAATTTAAATTTTATTTTAGTGTTTAAGATATTAAGTTTAATTTATTGATATTCAATGTTTATCCCATGCTTTTGTGTACATTTCAATGTTTTTCATTAGATTTCATTGGGTAGGATTAATGCTTAATAAATTAAATTTTTTATCATTTATACTAAAATTATTAAGTTCATGAAATAAATTACTTTACCATCATGGTGATGGCAATGTTATTGAGATACTGAGAATCAACAGAAAAACAAGAAATTAATGTTTAGGTTCGAATTCCAATGTTTTAAGTCCTCATTTATGTCATCGTCATTAACAGTGCTAATTTTATAGCTTATATATACATCAATAATGCTATTTTTATAGCTTACATTATAAATAACTTTTATGGAAGTATAGAGACAGAGTTCAGAGCCGACAACAACAGGAAGGGGGGCAAGGACACTGCCCTCCTCCCTTCCCCCCCCCCCCCCCTATACACACTTTTTTTTTTTGTAAAGGAGCTTTTGTTTTTTTTTGATAAAATTTCTAGGTATAGAGGACTTTTTATAGAAATTGTTTATTGTGCCCTTCCATTTTGAAACCCGTGTCGTCGGCCAGTGTCGTCGGCCATGAAGTTAGAGTTCAAAGAGGTCTAAACTTAAATTACGAAAAAAAAAGAACGTATTTATAAAGAACGTATTTATAAAGAAAGAACGTATTTATAAAGAAATTAAAAAATGTTTCTTTTGTTTTTATAGAAAATTAACGAAGTTCTCTTGACTGTAGGATAATTGCGTTATATTAAAACTAAAAGAACGTGACATCAAACTAGCATCTAAAAATACCTCTGTCATAAAAAAAAAATTATGAAAGATTTATTTGTGGTGGCTGTGGCAAGTAAAAAATAACAATAAATAAAACGTAAATAAAGTAATGGAGAATACTGATGTTCTTTCACTAAACTATTAACATTGAATCAATTTATTTTTAAAATATGGCATTATAAATTTTTTTAAAAATAATTTAAAAGGCATCTTTTTATTTTCATTTCACTAAATTTAATTATCTTACCATTAAAACTGTTTGCTTCTTATATCTTTACATTAACTATCCTCCTAAAATATTTAAACGGCTATGAAGTATTTTTTATCCATATAAGTTCTTTACTCATTGAGAAGTAAAGAATGAACTCCCAACCTTGCAGCTTTCTATGAAATAGTAAGAAACAATTAACATTTTAATATTCGGAAATAGTCCAACAGTATTAATGTTAGCTATATAAAACAATCCGATGGTATCTACTTTCCGTAATAATCCTCACTCTAAGTTTTGTTGTTTGTTTTCTCCTTTATAAAAAAGAAAATGGAAAATGAAAGAACAATTCTTGTATGCTAAAGCTTTCGAAAAGAATAAAGGAGTTGATATAGCCAAGCCTTTCACTGATGCGATTGCAAGGCTATGTTTGGATATTTAAAACTGTTGCGGTCAGGGATACAATGATGGATTCAATATGTCAGGTGCTTAAAAGTAAGCTTAAACCTTAATAAGGCAAAATTATTGAAAAACTCTGTAGCGCTTACAGTTTGAGCTTGGCTGGTGTGCACGCAGTTAAATCAGCCATTGAGATCAAAGTGCTCTTTGAAAATGTTAAACATTTGTACGCATTTTTTGGGCAAATCCTGCCCGATGGAAGTTTCTTACTGAAGCAACAGGAATTTCAGTTAATAGATTTCTTTGACAAGATAGAGATCTTGTACAAACCGCTTGTTAAGAGGCCGAGAGATATTTTGGCAGCTCTTAAACATGCCATGGAAAACCTGGATCTGACCAGTGAGCATCTTAGCCAAGCAAAAGTCTTTAAAAAAATTTATCTTTTGAATTTTTATTGCTAATTAAGAATTGTTACAAAACCCTATAAACGACGTTAGTCGTCTTCTAATATTTGAAGCCACTACCATCAATGACAAGCTATGTTTGATCTTAAACGGATTAGTGGTTGCAAATTTTCCAAGAGGTTGTAGCTGTAGTTGGACCGCTAGGATTTAAAACTGAACTCGCTACTAAAAAAAAAGCGTAAACTGAAGCGCTTTAACAATGAGGCATCAAACACAGTCCAATTTCACGATACACAGGTAAAAGAATTCAAAATAAAAGCTTTTAATATTAGTTTAGATTAATGTTAGTGTTGGCAAGCAGGATTGTTAGCAGTATGTTTTTATTTATCTGGTTGGATAATGATGATTTTTCTTTCAAAATAAAGCATGTGAACTTGCACGGTTTTATCCGAAATATGTGAACAAAAATGATCTTATTGAAGAAGTTCGCCGTTATTAAAATACCACCAAAATAATTTTTAAGCAAGTAAATCCACTGCAGCTATTAATCAAATCTTCGAGAAGAAGGCTGAATACCTTTTTCCGTACATTTGCGTCATGCTCCGGATTTTCAACACTATTCCTGTGTCAGTTGCTGAGGGTAAACGATTGTTTGGTAAACTGAATATTATAAAAAACTTTTTCCATTTGACCAAGGATCAGGATTGCGTTACTCATCTTTTTATCAATTCGAATAAAGATTTGGCTAAAAAGGTGAGCTACGACGATGTTATCGATATTTGGGTAACCAGAAAAGCTACAAAAATTCGTTTTTTAACACCTTAATTACCTTTCTCAAAGATTTTGTTTATTGACTTTTCGTTTATTGGTTTTAAACTAATATTTTGATTCATATGTCAGTTTTGATTGGTGAACCGAGATATTATTAAAAGTAATAATAAAATACGATATAAAAATATATATACTTACAACTTTTATTTATTATATAATTATTAACTATTTTAATGAGCTATATAAAAAAATGGAAAAAAAATGTATATTTCTAACAAATTTATTTACGAAATAACGAAGCGTAATAACTCTTACTTCTTTTATAAGGATAGTTTCAAAATCAACTGAAAAACATCATAGTTTAAATCAGATTCAACAAACAGCTCTATTAGGAGTTTATTATTGCGATGGTTGCAAAATATTTAGGGGAAAAAATATATAAAATCTATTTTAAAAAAGCAAAACTATTTAAATTGAAGTTCAAATAAGTTGAATTTATTGCAAAAGGTTTTGTCTTGGGATGAATTTTTAAATAAAAGTGTAAATTTGAACAGGACTTTATTTTACACGTGGTAAATGAAGAAACTAAAATGGCTTTTAAATGTACAAAATAAAATTTTAATTATGCGTTAAACAAATAAAGAAAAGTTTTCTTATTTAATAAAAACAATTAAAAGCAACTTAATTAAAATAAAAACAAAAAGAAACTCAAAAAAACGTATGCGAAAAAAAAATAAAAATAGAAAGACATAAAATAAAGCAACTTTGTTTTTCAACTTTTTTTTTAAAAGTAAAATGTGCATCAAACAATTTGCACCAATAACTCAAAAAACAAATAGAACAGAAATTTATTACAAATAAACTGGTAGAAAAACCTGTTAGAACTCGAAATCAATGTAACAATTTTGTAGTGCATATATAATTGAATCGGTGAAAAGAAGAACAATACTAGTCCATTTTTGTTATTTGCACTTTTTTTCATAATTTCATTTAACTCATTTCGATTTCTCTATGTAATACAAAAATAATATTAGTCCATCTTTCTTTCATTATTTTTTGCCATAAAGTAGATTTAAACTAGTCAAAGAACAATATTTAAACATTGATTATCTCGAAATGACAATATTAAACTAGTACTGTTTTTCTTTTCACCGATTCAATTGGATCCCATTGCATTGCATATCCAGTTTTAAGATTAAAATCAGCTTTTTCTGCATCACCATAAATCTTTTCCAAAATAAATTCGTTTTCCTTGAGCATGAACTGCTAAGGCGTTTTAATGCGCTCGCTAAAGAACAATCAACTTTTACATGTTTCAATGCCAAGTTTTTAAAATCATTAAGACTACTTTACTCTAATTCAAGGGCGGATTCATAGAGGGGGGGGGGGGAGGAGGAGTTATTTCGGAAAGAATTTTGTTTTTATTATTTAAAGTTGGAAGTTGCTGGAAGAGAAAAAATGAAGATTGTTGAGCAAGATAACAATTGACAGACGACTTAAAAGATTGCAAATTATATGAATCAGGAAAGCAAGATGAAGGAAGCGAATTCAAAAGAACTGATGTTCGAGAAAAAAAACAAGACGAATAAGAGTTTTTTTGAGAATGAATTTTGGTAGATGGCACAAGAGACGCTAGCTTTTTAGAGTAGTGCCCGTTATAGTATTTCTAGAAAAGAGAAAAGAGAAGCAACATTACGACGATGTGATAATGGTTGAAGGTTGGCTGCAAGAGCAGGTCCAACTATGTTTACAATGTGTTTTTGCACTTTGTCTAAAAGAGAAAGGGCATCATTAGAAAATCCGCTCCAGATGTGGTAACATTATTTCATAGAAGGTTGGATTTGAGATTTATAGAGAATAGAATCCGGAGTAAAAAAGTTTCGAGCTCGATAAAGAGATGCAACCTTAGCAGAGGTTAATTAATGAAACTAATAACAAAACTGCAATTATAAAACATAGTTAATATATGTTATAGATTATCAAAAAATTCAGATTAATATAAATGATAAATTTTAATTCAGAACATAACGAGTAAATTCTAGCTAAGATAAACTTACGGTAGTGTGTTTATCTTAGCTAAAAAAGATACAGTTGATTTAACAAAATGTCATTTTATAAACAAAATTAAATTGAAAATAAATGTTATAAAAATGTGAAAACATAGGATTAATACATTATATATATAAAAAAAAATATTTAAAACTACGGCCTGTTTTTTATTGTGATCTAAAGAGTCAAGCAAACTACAGTCCAAAGTATAAAAAAATTCAACAAAATTACCCGAATCAGAGTAAACAATTGTTGTCTTTTTAAACATAACAATAACTTAAGTAATGGGTAAGCAAATATTAAAAAAAATTAAATTTTTTTATTAAAAAAAACAATGAAAAGCTTTTTATATAACCAAGCTACAATACCATGTTGGGCCAAGCGTAATTCCAACGCTTCCGAGGTTGTCTCAACGTTTGCCCAACGTAATGTGCTAGCTGTGAAGTTCTCTTAACCGATATTTTATCTCGACTTGTATACAAAAATTCTGTGTAAAAAATCCACAAAGAAAAATCTGCGAGTTGGTAAAAGTAACAATCCCCTCTCAGTAAATACAGAAGTTAAAGTGAAAAAAAGTTTTCAAATAGAACTAACTGGACATTCTTGCATGAACGTTTTTAAAATAATTTTTTAAAAATAAATTTTTATTTAAAAGTTTTTGTGTAACTTTTACAAAAACATCGTAGTTTGTAATTGATTGTTGAAACAACTTCTATCTCATGTAAATATGACTTAACCAGCCTGCACATATAAATACAATCAGAATATATGATTTAATAATAAGATTACTAATAGATTATTAATAAATATATGATTTAATAATAAGATTACTAATAGATTATTAATAAATATATGATTTAATAATAAGATTATTAATAGATTATTTTGTTTCAGTAAAATTCTTATGATTTAGTCATTTCAGTAAATTGTGTCAAAAGAAAAGTAAATTAAGTGTCATAAATTTTTTTTTTCTTTGATTACTCCTCTTACCAAGTACTTCTTTAAATTTTCTGTAAAAGGAACTATTTGAACTTAAATTAGAATAAAATTATGTTGCTTTAAATGCAAAAATTTAAATTAATTCTGTTAACATTATGATTCGTTTTGTAATTTTTGATTGATTTGTGTTACAAGTGTTGACCGTTATTTACAACAATGAATTTATTATTTTTATGCAGAGAATAAATCTTATAAAGTTAGAATATGTTACATATTATTAAATATAACTTTTAACTATAATTATTATTAGTTATTATATATCTTTGTTTTTCTTTTACTCTTTTATTTTCTTTTACTTACTATAATGTATTTCTTGAATTACTATGGTATTATAATATAATATAGTTAATAAATATTTTAATTAATTAATTAAAATATTTAACTTTTAAATCGCAACAAAGAAAGACATCTTTATGTTACACTTTTTTTTTTTAAATACCAGAAATTTATTCAGACATAAAATTATGTCAAAATATGTTGATAGAAGACATGTCGGACATATTTTATGTCGGCAGAAAACTTGTCTCAGACATATTTGACAGATAAAAACACTGGTTGAATTAATAATCTTTTTTTTTTTTTTTTTTTTTTTTTTTGAATATTTGTTTGTTTAGAAATTGAAATATCAACAATGAGTATTCTTGAATTTATAATGTTGATATCGATTGCAATTATTGGATTTACTGGAAATGCAGTTATTATTTTTCTTTTTGCGTATGGTGGGAGTCGTGTTAGAATACTGAGAAATTTTCTAATTGTTAGTTTATCTTTTGCAGATTTAGTTATTGCAGGAATACTTGTCCCATTTTGGATTGCATTGAGAAGAGGTAAGATCTTTATAAGTCCTCAATTTATTTAAATTTAAAATATATATATATATTTTTCGAACATCTTTATCTCATACTTAAACATATATATATATATATATATATATATATATATATATATATATATATATATATATATATATATATATATATATATATATATATATATATATATATATATATTTTAAAGTAAGGTCAAATATAAAAACGTGAGTATATTTTATAACCTAATACTATCTGTTCTCCTGAAACACAATTTTTCACCTTTTATGACCGGCTCTCGGAAGACCCTAAAATTTTCTCTAAAAGCAAGAGCAAAAAAAATTTGTATATTCTTAGATAGATTTTTGGAAAAATTTAAATCCCATAAATGGATTTTATGATAGCGAGTTTAAAATTAGTTAAACTCTAAAATATTTTTATTATATTTATTAAATGTTACTAATTACGATAAATAACTATATTTTTAATAATTAATAAACTTATTTTAATATAAATGTTTGTAAAATAATATCATCGAAGGTGCTTACGTCATGTAGTATAAGTTTCCCTAAAGGTCGAATATATTATTGTATTCAAAGTGAGTTACCGTATGGAAAGTACATTGCTGTAATTATATATTAAGTATTTACCTTTGGTTGTGCTTTTTATTGTGGCAAATAAAGTTTTTTGATATTACTAGAATATTTTACGAACAAAGTTGACACTGCTACTATTAGTTTATATTAATTTTGTTAAATATTAATAACATTTTATTTAACTTGTAAATTTTTTTTCGAAGCTGAAATAATTGAAAACCTACTTTTAAACATGAGGTTTCCATGCAAACACGAAAGGTTTTCATGCAAACATGAGAGATTTCCATGCAAACATGAATGGTTTTCATGTAAAAAATGCAATCAATAACCAACTGAAAATCAATTACGCAATGATGTTTACCCAACTAATAATAATAAATTAGCCTTTTTATAACAGCGTTTTGTATTTTATATATAACAACAAATTAAATTTATTACAAAGCAAAAATTAAAATTATCAATACAAAGTTTATAATTAATTGACCTTAGTCACGTTTTCAACAAAAAGTTTTCAAAAAATTTTAATTACTCGATGAAATGCTTTTGCATTTTTACAGATCAGTGGCGTATAGACTTTTCGCGACAAAAAGCGATATTTACTTATTATCTAGTAAACTAAGTTTCAATCTTATTACTGAAAACACTAAAGTATGTTATGTTCCTCAACACTGGGACGCACAGTGACTCAAAACAACAACAAGATGGTAATAAACCCCTCACAACTTTTTTACAAATTAATTAATTTTTAAATAATGTTAAAATTAAAATATTTTTTTCTATTTCAATAGTAAAAATGATTTTTTCATGAAACTTTTATTTTGTATTTTATAGGTAAATGAAGTGAAAAAATATGATATTATTTTTAAAGAAATCTGAAAAATGTGAGATTTTTATTTAACTAAATTAGAGAATTTGAAATTTAAACAAAAGAGTACATTTATTTTTGATTTTGAAAATATTTTGAGTCTATATAATTCAAATTCTAAAATTCTAAATTCTAAAAAGAAAAAAAAAGAATGATTCTATTGTTTAAATTTATAGATTTCTCTAAAAAAAAGTAGCAAACAATTGTATTTTTTGGTTTATATATCAGCTAAAAAATGTTCCACCGAATTCAATAAATATATATACTTTTTCCAGTTAATTAACATTTCTATGTTTAGAATATAAAGGGATTACTGCGTTCACCTGCGGAATTGGAAGTTATTAAAGAAATGCAAATGTTAATGAAATCATAAAATCCTTTTTTTCCGCCATTTTTTTAGTATTTTATTATATCAACCCAAATGAAATTGGTGGGAAACTTAAATTTAAGTGTTTTGCTTGTAGAATTTGTTCATAAATATTAAATATAGTTTAAAAAAACGTGCTTTTGTCATTACTTACTATTTAGAAGTTTGTTAAAACATTAATTGCCAATTTTGAAAAATGATTTGTTATTCAATAAGCAGGGGAGATTGAGGAGAAGTGGGACACGTAATTTTTTTTTAGGGTAATTGCAAAATCTTTTTTATTTGATGTATACACTGAACTAAACAAGTTTTTAAGAATAAACATTTTTTTTTGGCACCGATTCAATCCCCTTAGGTTTCGAGCCATTTATGACTAAGTATGTAAATTTTTGCTTTTAGAGAAACCGTGCCATTAGGGTAAAGTGGGAAAAGTGTGATTAGAAGTGGGACAAATAAATTTAAAACAACATTTTAACAAAAATTATTAAATAGAAACTGATAAAATTATAAAATCACCTAATCGACATAAAAATGTTCAAGAGTTTTCACCAATCGAAATAATCAAATAGTGACGGGAAGAAGCGGGGCATAAATATTTCTTTTTTCTGTCCCACTTTAAAACAATGTAAACACTTTTTTAAGGTATATTTCAAAATTAGGGCTTCTAGTGCACGCAGGGAAACATAGTAATTTCTGCAAAATACTGGGGAAGAAATTAATTATTTACATTAAATAATAGTACTTAGACACCACTCCTAATTAGAAAGACAAACCGTTACCAGATGAAATTATTAAATTAATTGTAATATAAATGATAAAATAAATGTAATAAAATACAGTTTTTCTCACTAAGTATCGACATCCTTTAAAAACCATTTTTATAAAAATATCAAGGAGAGTAGTTTATCAAGATAACGTGTTTGTCTTAAAAACTCTAAAACTTTTAAAAAAATTGTTTTGTACGCGTATAGTCAACTTTACCGCGCGCATAAACGCGTAAGCACGCATTTTACGTGTTGAAGCTGCACGTAAAAACATTTTTTATTACCATATTTATAATCTTTGACCCAAAAATTATTATTTTAACATATAACATTACTAGTTTTTTGATCGTCCTGAGTCATTGTGCGACGTTTTTACCACAATGAAATAGAGTTAAAAGCTAACAAACTCTCTCTCCGAATACAACTAAAGGCAAATACACTATTTTTCTTTACAATAAAATTTTCTAACACGTCTAAAAAATCTGATACCACTTTCTTAAAACAGCAGGGTATCTTAATTTAAAAAACTAAATTGGAATGGAAATACTGTTTAATTATTAGGTGGAATAATCTGTAAAATAAGAACAAATAAATTAGAATAAGAACTAATTAAATTCATTTGTCTCTAGCTATATTAGTTATTGTAATATTGGTTTGTTTAACTGTAATACGATAAAAAAAAATTAAAAAATGTAACTAACATCATAAAAGAACAAAAGAAGATAACATAACCGGGGATGTTTTAAGGAACTAGATTAAAAGATTCATATTTACTTGGCTCATTTTTTTTATTAATACTAGCATTTTTCTACTCTGTATACATAGTCAGGGCCATCCCGAAGAGATCTGCCATGGGGGGGGGGGGGGTGTATATATTTTTTTGC